TTAACTGGAGCTTCAATTCTTCTGGTGTACACACGCTAACAAGCAACGACACTAAAGGGATGGACGCAGCAGGGGTCATATGTCAGTGATTATATTTGCTGATGTGTCAAGTTGTATTGAATGTTGGCCCCTTATTGTGACTTCTGTGACTTGCAGCTCCACAGAATTGATGAATTCGATTACCTGCAGAGAACTGCAGACGTGTGTGTACATATAATCTATATGTCCTTCATGCAGACACATCTCATCCTTGTGTAGTTACATTTAGGGTTGAGACTTGGTTTCAAGTTAAGTAGCAGAGGAGGAATCACCTCAGGATTTCTCGTCGTCCTACATTTGGTATCTTGCACATGTTGACGCCTGCATTTACCTGAACTTCGTCCTTGGTCTATGACAAGATAAATCACTGCTCTTACTTTTTTCCGTTGCCTTCATAGTATTTTCTGCCAACTGCACTTAAGCATGTGCACGACCAGTGAATCTGAATGTTCATGTGATGGTGTTCAGAGAGACTAAATACATGATGACAGACCGGACTTACTGTAAATGCAACTTCTTCTTGATGAAATCAACATTCGACCTTCAACCACTTGGGGCGGCTGTGGCACAAGGGGTAGAACGGGTCGCCCTCTAACTTCTAACCAGAAGTTCGATCCCAGCCTTCCCCCAAGTATCCTTGGCTTGTCGCCATGGATACAATAGTCTCATTCATTAAACCCAGTAGCATCCTTACATGGACTTTGTTGCTTCTCTACCACATGACCTGACTTCACAATCCCTGCAGCCATTAGTGGTCGCCTAACAATAACACATAACTATGGGTCATAATAAACGAGCTACGCCATGGAGACATTTCAGAAATTCCCAGTCAGGTTAAAGAGATATCCCTCCTTTACTTTTCCTGTCCTTGGCTGACATGCAAACGCAAGCAGTAACTAGCATTCAACATCATCCTCCGGCGTCCAGGTCACACAGCTCATCCTCTGGGGAAATTTGTGGGCTGAGCAAAGATGAGCTTCCACACTGGGGAATAAATAGAACACGTCAATGCCGTGTCGCAGGCTCTCCAGGTTGATTCACAGGCCACCTCGCCATTTACATGCACCGATCAGTTTTGGCAAGTCAGTGGGGATCCTCCCGTGTGTGACTCAGAGCCAGCGTTCCTGTTCTGCCTGGAAAACAAAGATGTATCTCTACACTTTCTGTGTGTGTGTGTGTGTGTGTGTGTGTGTGTTTCATAAGAGCTGAGGCTGTGAGCGTGAGACAGGAGCATATAGTACGTTAGAGTGGGTTTGAGTTGCATTAACAAGATGTCAGGGGAGTAAGTGTGAGACAGAGGGGAGAGTGTCAGATGGTCTGTGCATCCAGGAGGAGGTGAAGCTTTCCTGTTGTTGCTCCTTTAGTGAAGAGAATTCTCAGGGTTGTTGTGGTGGGTTCAGTTTGAGGTGAAGGCTGCATTTGAGGTTGGGAATATGAATTTAAATCAGTGGAGCATCACCTGTGTACAGTTCAACCCAAAGACAGATGTTTTATTCATTTCATCTCGAGTGAAACCATTAGATAGTTTTTTAAATCCAGACTGAAAACGTTCTTATCCACAAGTGCCTTAACTAATATATTATTTGAAATCTTATTGTTTATATGCAGATGTTTTTCATCTTTTCATTTTCCATTAGTTATTTTATTCAGCTCTTTCAAATATATTTCATTTGGCTTTTTAACATTAATTGTGCATTTAATTTTGTCTTTGTGTTTGTTTGTTTTTTATCTTCGTAAACCACCTCCATTCTCTGTGTATGAAATATAATTAAAACAACATTTGCTTTCTGTAAAGCAGCTTTTTGTACTGGAGAGGAAAATGCCAATTTTAATATTTATTTTCAGACTTGGATAAACAACCGCTTCAGTGTTCATTTATAAAACATCATCATCATTTGTTAAATACACAAACATCACGAGTGGCCACCCACAACAAGTTGAAGTCTGCTGGGTCACTTCTGCCTGTGTGTGTTAATCGCTCTGTAACTGATACTGTAAAATCAATCTCAACACATAATGCACCAAACTCAAAGTCCCACTGGACGTTCAATACTGCCGTGACAGAAATGGCTTGGGAAAAAAAATCACTTAATGTGAGTTACTATTGGTTTTAAATTCCTGATCAATAGTCATCTCAGGCTGGTGGAGTGGGAGCATGCGGCTCGTGGTAGGATGCAAATGACCTCTGCCTCGATTGATAAGCATGATGGGAGGCAACGGCTTCTTAGAGAACACTATTGTCATCCGTGCAATTCTGTAATAGAAATGAATGGAGAGCAGCCACAGAATCAAACTATCACCAACCAGTTTAGGTACCAAATAATATTTCTTCTAATTTCTAAACACAAATATATGAACTAGCTTAATGTGATCAAATAAACATGATGTTCAGTCCACACATGAACAAAATGAGTTTAAAGATTTCAGAGATACAACAACATCAGGGATTATGAATCAGAACTGTTATTATTATAACTCTATTAATAATGCCTAATTTTCATTGTGAGTTATTATCAAATTATTTCTTTCTTTATGATTTAGTAGCTTGAACCAATTGTGATACATGATTTTCTACATCCACTTGATCTGAGTATATACATGTAATTAATCCATTGATACCAGTAGATAACAATTCATATCAAGCTATGAAATAATCATTAAAACATAAATCAATGTCAAATGTTTTTATTTAAACCTTTGTAGGTTTAAATCTTTGAATATAAGCTAAATAAAGTAAGAATGATTGTGTCATGTTCACAGGTGGTTTGACCAAGAATTACCTACATTTTAAATGTATTTTTTTTACTTAGAATTTAATACACATGAATTATTATTATTATTATTATTATTATTATTATTATTATACGTATAAATGTAACAGCCCCAAACCACAAATGTCAGATTGTGCACAAGATGTTGTTTTCGTGCAGTAGCCATATGTGCTGGGTTTGAATCATGATATACACTGTGGTTGAAAAATCAGAGCTGAAAATACACTGTGTGTGTGTATATATATATATATATATATATATATATATAGTAAGTGCACTGAAACAAGTATGTGACAGTGTCATATACTATGTATGAATGTGTCTCTGCAGGCTCTCAGATCTGCAGCTGGATTCAAGACTGCAGAAAGACATTTGCAGGACTTGAGGCTCTCAGAGAACAGGTGAGGAACCAGGCCACTTTGAAATCAACAGCAGAGAAGATGAATTTCTGTTTTGTTCCGTCGCTGATTTCAGACGCTCAAAACCTTTACCTCTGAAATGGACCAAGGACAGAAAGAAATGTGCTTGTGGCATTGGTTAAACCAATGATTCAAGAATTGAGACTGTGGACATAATGTTCCATGATTCAGTGGAGGCTCATCATTTCTCTATCAAGCCGCATGACAAGAGAAAAACTCATTACTGCTCAATGGGAGGTTGAATGAAGGTCGCTCATAGACAAAGTGATGTGTGTTGTTTCTCTTGATAAAGGCTGAGGTTACAGAGCTCATTCAAAGCAGCTGTAGTGATAACACAATCCATGTCCCTCTCAGCAAGTCTGTTCCATATCTGAGACACTGAGAGACTCAAACCATTAACTTCAGAGAATGTGGATGGTCTCCTTTTCACAACCCCTCTCATCCTCCATCCTCTGATACTGATCTACACTTTCTCAATCTGTCGTCATTATAATAATTATACATTTTACTTTACCTTTAACTTGATGTGAGTAATTGAAGTAAAACCAGATGTTAAACTCAGATTGGGAGACACAAACATCAATACAACATGTACCACAAGATCAGTTAAGATTAAAACCAAGGTTTAAATCTGAATAAGAGGTATAAACCCCTAACAGAATATGTGAACCCAAGAGTGAAACAGACATGAAAACAAATGATTCAAATATATAAAAAACAAATTGGGTGAAGAAAAAAATATTTCATCCACTAACTCTGGCATGCTGTTCTTGTTTGTCCAAAATCAAAATGAAATAATAATATAGATACTACACTGAAGACTTAGCATCATAGCTACACTATAGAACCCTCGGAAGGATAATCAAAGCAATCCGATTACAGATCTACAGTAAATAGTTAACTAAAGGATCACTATTGACCCCACATGCAGAAATGCAGACATGAGGCGAGAAGGGACAACAGTTCAAAACATCAGGATGAATTTTAGGTTAAGAAAAATCACCCAGTGCAGTTTGTCTCGTGTAAATCAGATTATTTGCCTTATTCTGTCGCTGGGATGGATCTGAACAAAGTGTCACAACCAGGAGGTTCGTATTGCTTTATTTAACTTCACAGTATCGGGGGCTTGATTGAATTTAAGGAGAGTCTGTTGGTGTAGGTATGTGCTCTAGATTCTATTTTTTAATGCAACTGAAATGTAAAGACTTAGATCCTTTGCCTTGCTGGGTCACAGCAGCACATGTTTCTTTTGTCCCTCTCATGTGCCTCTGATGTTCCACAGAGTAGAAAAATAACCTCAGGTTCCCGTTTGTCCATTGTTGCCCCTGTCCCTCACAGATACTGTGCACACCACTGAATTCAGTGTGTGAATATTATCATGAAGCAATGGAACATGAGCGATATAATCACCAGATGCTGTTCAGCACCGACACTACGCTCCCCTATAGCAACATGATGGGAACCCCACTGGAACATTTTGTGATTTTTGCACATCTCTCCTCCTGAGATCAAGCGACATCTTTTTCCCTCCACATCCATCACATCCCCGGTACATTCTGCAAGCGGAGTCCCTGTGGAGAAGGGGTTGTGGTGGGGGGGCTGCCAGAGACAGGGCTGCAGACTTGATCTCTCATCTATCGGTCAGGGGAGACGTTGGTGGGACGTTTGTCTCTGCGTCCCTCCGTGTGATTCAGTCCTTCCTTCCCATCACGGTGTGAACGGCAGCTGCTTCACCACCACCACCACCACCACCACCCCCTTTTCCACTCCTCCTCTTTCTCTCTAAGCGTGTGTGAGTGTGAGTGTGTGAGTGAGTGTGTGAGTGAGTGTGTGTGTGTGTGCAGGAAGACAAGGCGGCAGGCAGCAGGAAGCACCAAGGACGTCCTTTTTCCAGCCCCGGGAGCCAGCCGGAGATGCGAGGGAAGAGCAGTTAGATTCGCCTGTGCTGCTGGTGCCTGCTGCGGGATAACTTCGCTCCGGAGGCTGCTGCAGCTGAAGCTCCGCTCCCCCGATCCTCGCCCGGTGTGTGTGACAGAGTGAAGCCGGATTTCGGAGCCTGTCGCCGGGACGGAGGTAAATCGACGCTCGGTGCGGGTTTTGGGGGGAGCTGTCCAGTCGCGGTGGTGCTGAAACCAGATCAAACGAGGAAGTGCACGCGTTTTCTCTGCGTTTCACGACCCCGCACACTCACGATCGGGTCGACGCTGAGCACATTTACCGCAATTCCCCGCACGTGTAGGTGTAAACGTGCACGCATGAGTCTGCGTTGCTGCTTAATTAACGCACTGTGCGTTACAGCTTTTTTCTTTTGATGGGATGGTTTTGTCCAATGTCTCCAATGGAGAAGTTTTACCACATGATGAGGACAAATGCACATCAGTGGTTCGTTTCCAGCGGGTGAGACAGAGGACTGTCCTGCAGGGCTGAGCACTTGCACCGTGCACTTTCTCCAAAGTGGCTCCGGGCACGTAGAGGTTATTGCTGATTGTCGTGACACACAGTCCCGTCACTGACACTACAACACACAAGTGTCCGGGTTCTCTTGCACATACGCACGGAGACACTGAGTCGTAGCTGCTGATTCGCTCTGTAGGTTCGACATGTTTGGTGTTTTTCTGTTTTTGTCCGTTGGGCTCAGGTTGAGATTGAACCATTGACCTCGGTGTCCTTCAGTTGGCGCATTGAAGAAACGTGCCCGACACACAGATGAGCTGATATCTGTCTCTTTGGCTCCGTTCAAACCAAACGTGTGGCGACATTCGACAGATTATGATTCGATAATTATATAATTTTTTATCATTAGATAAAGTAAGTTTGTACTTAATGGTATTTAAAATCACCTGTATCCCGATATGAGGTGTATTTTCATAGATTTTTGAGTCTGTCCTGGTGTATTTCAAGCTTTTCACATTTATCACTATTGATCCATTTCATGAGGCAAACGTTTTTTTTCTTCTTCCCAGATCTCACAACAAAGGACTTCCACTTTTCCTGCAACTATTGAATGTAACATTGCTCGGATAAAGAAGGCAGGGAATTAAAAGCCATCATCATGAATTTCGTTATGAAACAAGCGTTGGGAGGTAAGTTTGACTTTATATTTTCACATTTGCTTTGCAAGTCTGATGATGGCTCTTCCTGACGGGTGTTGTTTTTCTCTCCTGAACTTCTGTCGCACTGTTTGAGATCCATTGCGTTTCCAATTTCACGTCTTGCCGCGCATATGCACACATCATCATTATTATTATTCGATCGTGGACAGATGCAGTGTAGGAAATCAGGTTTTTTTTCCCCACATCTGCTGCTGGCTCAGTGCACACATGGTGCTGTTGACCCCTGAGGCACACTGACCACAGTTCACTGTAACAGGTTGGTAATTTGTAATATAGACTGAATCGTCGTGGCAAAATGGCATTTCATGTTCCAGTGAGCGCAACCTGTTTAGCCGGAGATGTTAAAACAGGTCTCACTCGTACCATCAATCAGACTGTGCTGCCTCTTGACAATGACTCTCATCTTCACGCTGATCACACATATTCCACCTGAAGGGGGAAAAAGATAATCTAATCATAATCTAATCTTCAGTCCAACTCCCTGGACATGAGATTATCATAACAGAGTAATGGATTTTGATGGAACACAGACTTGTTATCGTGAATGAATATGCAGATGGTGCAGTGGAAGGTGAAAGGACCTGAGATGTTTTCACAGAGCAGAGATGATGCTCGGAGATTTGTCCATAGTGAGTTCTTAGTGGGTAGTGAGTGGAAACACGACGTTGCTCTGCCGTTGTTTGTATCTTCGTGAGCTGATCAGACCCTAATGAGCCCGAGCTGATATTTCTTTGTTATTCTCAGACTTCAACTGCTTTTCATTTAAATGTTGCTAAACCCTGATTGGTGCATGCGGATGCAATGGAGCCACGCCCACTTAAAATCAACAAACAGCGGAGTCAAAACCACCAAAGACAGAACTCTGTCAACCTTTGGTCCAGACTGAGAAACTGATCAACATGTTTTATGACCTTCAACACTTAAATTCTACTGGTCGCAGATCGTTCCAATATGACTTCATTAAATCCTACGAGGCTGCAGCAACTGTTGCATCATTGGAGACGTGGGATGATGTAACTGTGACACTACAGAGTGGCGTACAGTTCGCATATCATTATAAAATTACAGTGAAAGAGAACAAAGAGAGCCCAAGAGACAACTACTTCATGTCATCACTAATAAGAACACAACTGATATTTCCATTTTAGTAACACTTAAATTGAAGCCTGTTTTTGTCACAAGGGAGAATATTAGTAAAGTTTTATAACGTGTAATATTTAAAGACTTTAAAGAGACCCCCACTCCTCACTGCACACAAACACTGCTCGACCACCGGTTCTCCAATCAGACGACTTATTGCAGCGTGTGTGGTCGTGACTGTTTCTGCCGGCCTCTCACTCTCAGGAGGTGTCGACGGATCGGAGATCATGTCACACTGAATCTGCACAGTGCAGACGTTAAAGCATGCGGGGTGGAACAGGATCTTCTTCAGTACACAGCCACTGTACGTGGTTTGTAGTCCTCAGATGTCGACACCGATGTCGTCAGCTTATTCTGATTCATTTACACGCTGAGCTAAATACTGGTTTGACATGCTTGGTGTAAAGTGTGTTCGGTATCATGTTGATATTTGTTGGCCTGCTGGTGGAAACCCTCAGTGACGTAACAATGTTGTTGCATTGTGTTGCCTATTTCCAGTGTTTACATGTTCACAGCCTGCCCACGCCTCTTCAGTTTGTCCAGAACCTCCTTGATTCAGGAACATTAAAGCTGTATTTCTGCTGCTGGTGAGAGTGTCAGTGGGAGTCCTGGGGAGCTGCAGGTGTCCACCGTCGGATTTGCTCAAAGCTCCACATCAATAAAGACAACGAGTCAAATCCGCTGAACTTTGCATAAAAGAAATTTCACACATGAGGAAAAACCAGGTTGTTTTTCACCGAGGTCTTCACCTGAGGCTCTGTATTTCTTTCCATCTCGGGGAGCACATTTTTTTGGTTCCTCTTTAAGTAGTAATGAGTTTTCTGTGTGCAGTGGATTAGCTGTGGGCCATTATCTCACTTCTCGCTCTCTCTCCACGCTCTGAGGAGAAGCTCACACTCCATCTGCTCATATCGAGGTCAGGATTTGTATTCTGTTTTCTGCAGTGAGGAGGGAGTCGTCTCGCTTAGCACCGAGGTGGCACTCATCTCTGTCGCCCATGACCTTTACAGTCTTTAAAATGCATGAGAGGTTACCGACATTTTCACGACCCCCAGAAGAGAAGAAGAATCCGCTCTTACCCTCACACTCACATGAGTCCATTAGCCACCAGCCGTTTGTATTTAAGGGTAACTACACATATGTAAACAAGCTGGCACGTGCTGCCAACTAGTGGTAACAACAGGCTCTTTCTGTAACTTGCAGCCGACCACAGGGCAGAGGAGATGGTGTTTGTGGTCACTCCAGGAATTCTCTCATTTCAACAGTGAAGTGAATCATCAAGAAGATTCAAGTCGCCAAATATTCGAAGTGAATCTGAACTTTTCAAACTTGTGTTCGGGACCCTGATGAAAACACAAAGAGGACTCCTGCAGTCCCCAGACCTCAGTTTAGGAAACACTGTGACATGTAGCGAGGAAACGACAAATGAGGAATTGATTCAATCTGCCGGGCAGTTACAGCACCGTGCGCGTGCATGTGTGTGTGTGAGCGGAGGATTTATTGCAAATGACATCATCAAAAGTGCTCGTAAACAGAACTCAGCTCTCTCTCCCTCTCGATGCAGCTACAACACCCTCCTCCTCCTCTTCCTCCTCCTCTGGAATCTCTGCCCTCGGAAGAAGAGGAGGAGGAGAACGAGGTGTAGGAGGAGATGAAAAGTGACAAATTGATCTTTAAAACTGGGTGTTATATCATCAGTGGCTGACGGCAGAGGCTGTACAGCCGCTCCGCACTCTGGACCAGCAGAGGCTGTAATCTCTGTTTATTGGGAGATGTTTCCTGTCCTCAGCGACCACAGTGCTCTCCTCTTACTCTTCCTCCCTCACTCTACTTCTCTATCATTCCTTCCCTCTTCATCCTTTACTTGACGCCTTTCTTCCTGGAACACTCCCTCCTCTCTCACACCTTCCTCACCTACTTATTATCTCAGTCACGTTTCCTCCCCTTTCGACACCTTTCTCACTTCCCCCTCACGACCTGTACAGCTCCCAAAACCCCTCTCTCCTTTTGTGTCATCACTCTCTGTATCCTGTCTTTGCTCCTCTATCCTTCACTTTCACTTTTCCTCCCTGTCATTCCTCCCTCCCTTCCTTCCTTCCTTTGACGATTACAGAAGATTTGAGGGGCGAGGCAAGAAATCCTCAATCGGGCAGCTACAGGGATGTGTGTGTGTGATTCTGTGTTTTCCTGTGTGTGGCAATAGAGAATCAGAGAAGAGGGACTGGGCTTGGTCCTAGTAGTCAGCTTTAGTGTGTGTGTGTGTGTGTGACTGTGTGTGTCTGTGTGTGTCTGTGTGTGTTGCTGACAAAAACATGAAGACATACATTCAAAATTGCAAACAACACAAGCCTTTGACAAAATCTCAAATTCAAACCAACATGATGATAAACACACACACACACACACACACGCACACACACACACACACAGACACACACAGAGGGGGTCGTAATCAGTGGGATGTGACTAACCTCCCTCCCGGTTGAAATCCTCAGCAGGGGAACGCTGAGGGAACCGTGTCGCAGTACAGATGGAGCAGCAGCAGCACCGAAGCCTCGTACACACATCTACTGCACAAACACTCTGTAAGAAGACAAACTTCAGAGTGTAAACAGAAAATAACACTGGATCATAATCACCTCAGAGCACTCAGGCAGAATGTATATACAGAGATGTACACACAGGAGTCAGGGCTTTGAAGTTTTACATTTCCTCTTTTCGACTCACTGCTCATAGATTCGTCTCCTGTCAGAATAATCAGCAAACAATTCACGGAGGCACATTTAGGAACTGAGTGATGGAAGAACTTTCTAAAATGTGCACTAACTGTAAAGTGTCATCACTGATAATAATAGTGTAAGTGTTAAACAGTACTATAATGAACGCCTTTGCTGTTAGAGGTGATTCCCTGTGTTGTGGTCGTGTGGTCACACAGGAGATGAAACATTATCCTAAAGGACTAATTAGAATTAGCTGAAGAGCCCAGGAGACAAGAACTATGAAGATGTGTAACTAACCCCCTCTGGTATATGGGCTGTTATGTGTTTACTCCTTCACAGAGAGAAATTAGTGTGAAAGTGTGGGGATATAGTTTATGATTTTACAATTCATGATGGACATCCACCTCTACATTAAGATGCTTAAAACAACATCTGTAGATCAGTGACTTTTACAAGCCCTCTTCTTCATGTCCTTCCTCTTTGCTCCTGCCTCGTTATTCCTTTTTCATCCTCCTTTTTTTTAATCTTCCCCTCCTTCCCATCCACGGATCTTGTTCTGTCCACTCTCTGCTAATGAGGGTTATATGTGCTTGGTCTTTATGAGTTTCAGGCACGGCCTCCATCCTCCTGCTGTCTTTAAAAGAGCTGTGGGACAGATTCATGACCACAGAGCAGTTAGAGCTGATTGTGAAAGTGTAATCATTTTTCTTTTTATATTAAGCTTCGGTTTAAACTATGGAAACGTGGCCTCGTGAAGCTTAAATGGATTTTTTATGCAGCGGCAGACTCAACGTGACTGTGATATTACGAGATGTTTTAAAGCCCCTCAGCTCTGCATCGAGGAACGTTCCCAAATACAGTGTGTGCAAAATGCAAATGGTGTGCTCTGTTAGTTTGAACCAGGAACATGTAACGTACCTTATTCAGGAGTGAACCACTTAACCACCAGCTTAGATAACATGACATGTTATCCCTATACAACGCACGCTTCCCGCTGGATTTCATTTAAAAACCTTTGCGCATGGATGGGCAGTCTCTGTGAGCAATTCATATCAGTTCCTTCACACTTAACTGGCTTTTGGCTGACTTGGCATGTAAGAATAATGTTTT